ATGGCTCAGGAAACTAACCATATGCGTAGGCAGATTATAAAGGTGTGCTTGGTCGTGTAACTGAAGTATTAAAAGGGAAAGAGGTAGTGTAGAACGGCTAGATCCGGACAAGCTACCATGTAAACCTACAAGAAAAAATTATGAAAATATCAACTATTTATAAGAAAGCTAATAAATTCATATATATTCATGTTAAATAAGATGTTTACCTGTGATCTTCTCAATTCGTTTTAGACAACTTTGCTCTATTGGAAGAGGAGGGTCAAGAATCAAAACAGCTGTTGCGTTCGTGGGAGCGAAGTCAGATGAATCAACAGTTTCAATCCGAATAGCACTAATAAAAAACGATTATAAGATAGACAAGATAGTGTGAAATATAAATAAATTTAATTAAAAGTTCTTATCTGAGTGATATATTACCTAGATAAATATCTAAGTGAGCAGAGAAAGTGGACAAATAAGTGAAATTCAGCACACAACATTTATAGGCATTTAGGATATATATACATGTGGGTACGTGCAAAATCATTTTAAAATCTACATTATCAGTCAATATTATACCTATATAGTATATATATCAACGAAATGTAGTGAGACGGAAATAATGGAGACCTGGACGTAAAAAATACATATATTTACAAGTGAACAAAAAGCGCTATTAAATCATCCTAACTATATAGATTTATTTTTTAATGAGATATTTTTCTAACTCTGGAATGGAATATGGCAAAGAAGCGGATTTATAAAATTAAGAAAGGAGAAAAAATAATAAAAGATAGTATATTTAAAACTCTATACCAGTTAGCATCATATTGTATAAATCTCAGTAAAAGATCAGGGTGTATCATATTCATATGATGGTGCGACAATACTTATAAGCCAAAAACACCCTCAAAAAATATATAATATTAAACTGATAAAAAACGAATCCTAATGGTTCTCGCGGAAAAGTTGGTCTCTTATAAATGCCGTAACAACAATACTTCTCCCTTATCCTATAAAGAAAGCATGAACCAGCCGACCGAATCATGAGATGTCTCAATAAGTTGCAAAAAATCATCTCCTAAAGAATGATTGCAGCAAGCCACTTTTCGATCTTAGCAATTTGTGAAACGTTGTAAAGCATGGACTCAGACTTTGACAATATCCGTCACGATGAAGCAAGCGAAAAGTCAGCAAAAATTCATTGGGAACGCGGCATGGTGCGCCGGGTACTTATTCGCAAAAATCTAGTCAACTCAATTAATCCTCCCTAGGCCTGTAGAGTGCTCAATTACAAATCCATTTCCAATCGCCTTCCAAAATAAAATTAAACATAAAAAAGATTGTTTTATACTCCATACAATAACAGAGCAATTGTTGCTACTAAGGGGAAAATAATTGAGTAAATTCGATCATTGCAATTAAATTTATGCAATAAAAACCGGTCTGAATTAAATCATTTATAGAAAAGAGTAAAACCGAAATACTTAATTAGTGTGCTCACTTTAGTGAAATCTAAAAAATTATTTATTCAATCAGCAACTTGACTCAGATATGAAAAAATTGATATTAAATAAAAAGTTTCTAGGAGTTTAAGTAACTTAAAAAAACTGTCACAAACAACCCAAGTAACGATTCAGATTATGATATAACCTAAGGATGATCATGATGCTCCTGTGATTCAAACACATCTCGGTGTAGATTTAATTCAAATATTTTTATGTCAAAAGAGTATTGTTAAATAATAATTTTCTGAAATAATTTACTCATAACCCGTCCTTACCTAAATATATCTCAATATATATCAATAAGTCATCAATTAAAACAAATTAGCTAAATCCTTCCACTTAAACTCCAAAGGTCTGCATCATGGTAAAAAATTGCATTAAAAAGGCTCTGACAAGCTTGATATAACTTGATGCAAGTGGTGAAGATCCGGATCAGAAGTATTGGCAGAGTAATGAGATCACACATTTAAATTCCCACTTACTCTATGTCAGTTTCGAGGTCCCGAGTTACAGAGACCAGTTGTCGCGAAGGTAACCTTGGTCCAAGATCGGGATCAAGCTTGACCTGGGAGTCTAGCTCTTCTATTGCCTGGAGGCCGACTCGCGCCGAAAATCCACAGGAAAGACCACCATAGCTAGTTAAGCTGGCTGAAACTGCGTATGGTGCATTTCGGAAAGTAGAAATTCCAGCGGGAGGTAATCCGATATGGCGAAATTGTGGAAAGGCGAAAGCCAGTTGGGCTGGTGTCACAAGATAAGTAAGTTTGCCAAGTTTACCTCCTTTGCGAGGGCGCCAACTGCCCAAGAGAGAGAAGTTAACTTGCCGTATCGCAGCCCCGTCTTCATCTTCAGCCTTCGCCTCAATCCCATCTCCAATACCCATACCATCTTCTCTTCTTCCTTGCGAGTATTTCTTGCCCTCTACGTCCACAACATTGGCATCATCAGTTCCACCTCGACCAACTTCAGCTGAGAACTTAGCACTCAACGTATTAGAATTTGGGAGATAAAATGGACGAATACGGTATTTTGATAAGCTGGGCTGAAGGTCAAGGAGTTTCGGAGAGTCATCGTCCTTATCAGTCGCATCGACATTGAGGCTATCGAAAGGACAAAGACTGAGCAAGCGGATGTCTTCCTCCAGAGAGGTCAGACAAGCGAAGGAGTGGTCACGGGGAAGCCTAATAATAGGGTAAAGGTGTATCATAAAAGGCAAAATATAAAAATAAGCGCCAGGTACCTAACCAAAAATTTATTCATCTTATGCCCGCCTCACGAATATAAATATCGATAAATAAAATGTATCTTCTGAAATAGGCTTAAGAGCTATTCGAAAGCACTTAGAATAACTGAATTAATGCGCAAATACATAGCTTCAAGAGTCTAGAGATAATTATGATAAAGAATTAAGATAGGAATAACCTCAACTGCCAGCCACAACTTCAATACCCTCGCTGACTAAAGGCCGAAGAGACATGATGGAAGACCGACAGATTTTTAAGTCATAAAATACACCATATTCGAATAGAACGAACACAATTAATCTGTTGATACTACTTACCCAATGTTATAGTCCATTTTTGATTCACTGTTAAATCATTAAAGGTCTGCATAATAGATAAAAAGCATAACTATAACAAAAGCATGATTTTTATGCTAGCATGAACTTTTGACAAACGATAAAGTAAATCGAGATTAAACTCTTAAAAGGTATGCCCATATGAAGTCTCAAAATCCGGATTAAGCAACCGTGTTGGATCACCAGACCAGTCAAGATATATGACCAAAACGGATAATCGGTTATCGTTTTTGGGCCCTATGGCACATAATTATTCAGAACCTAAACGATAAAGCAATATAATTGTAGAGAAATAAACATTATTGTGTGGCAATATGGCCTATACAATATTCAAGACATAAATGGGTGACAAGCAAGATAAAAAAAAACAATAAAACTAACCCAACTGGATTTATCTGAAAAACTTTGAGAAGGCTTTCAATGGGTTCAATGAGAGCGCAAAAATCGCCCTTATTCAAATAGTCAATCAGCTCAGAACAAAGCTAGAAAAAGTAAACAATTATAAGTTTGGATAATTAAATATTGAAAGTGGAAAATACACAACATACGATAGGCTTTTCATCAAATATCTTCAAATGCACCGAAAGTATTTCGATCGAATCATCTGAAATACTATTCACATAGGGAAAATGCCCCGCCTCATTTAATACTGGGCTACTTGTAATATAGAAAGAAAAACATTCTGATGAAAGACACCATCGGGAAGCAATTTCAGAATTTGATAGTTTATCGCATTGTAATCCGCATTGAAGGCAGATACGTTTAAGATGAGTTGTGAGAGAGGATAATTTGAGAGAAGAATGCTTATGGGAAGAAGATCCTCGAGTCCGGTTTAAAATACCATTTTGAATGATTTTTGCCTTAGATATAAGAGCAAAGCAACTCTCTAAAGAAATTTTGCGCATTTCGTTGAGTCCAGCATCCTGAATAAAAAATATGAAGTAGTTTGAGACAAAATATAGACCACAAGAAATTAAATATTAAATACCTTCACTATGATATAGGATGAAAGAAAAATAACTTTTTCACACAAAACACCTGTTAATAATAAGGAAACCAAGCAAAAAATTAATGGAAGTATTTGCAATTTAGTAGACTGGCGATTATACTTCTTAATAAGTGGTAATAGCCAGAGATTAGATGAAGTCAAAATGTAGGCTAAACTCAAGAGGTCGACTTGAGTTGGATAAAGCTTCATAAAATGCCACCTTTAAAAATAGAATCTAATGAGACAGACATGATGATGAAGAGGCACAAGTTTCAGTTAGCTTCGAATAGCCTACTCAAAAATGTGACAAATAGTAAGTGATTCATGTAATTTAAAAAATTCATGGTACTTAATTATCATCAATGAAACAACAATGACATATCATAGAAAGTTATCCCATTAAAAATGGAGGATTAACATTGAATCAGCATCCAATAATTAGGCATCACTAACAAAATTAACGACAAAAAGCCAAGCAAGCGGTAAATAAGATTTTGAAGTCTCATGAATTAGAAATTTAAATAAATGTGTAAATAAAGTGGTCTGACAAAAATCGGCAGGCAAATATAAAGTAACCCAGTGGGTGTAAAAACAAGGGAAATCAGCTAGTATTAATGACAAAAAATAGCATAGGGTTAGCCAATAACTCCGGGAATGTAGTACTTTGTTGTATCATTTGCTAGCACAATAAAAAAACAAAGCCCATATTGGTCAAAAGTGATTAAAAGCAAAGAGTTAGCTATAGGAAATAAATAAATTATGGCAATCTCATTAAGTCTAAGAATTTGAGAGATTGGAGAATGAAGATTAAACCAGATTGTAATATAGGATGGTTTGCGAGGTTGAAAATAAAGGGCACCATAAATTAAGTGAACAGAGAAAAATACATAACTATTAAAACCTGCCTAAGAAGTTTGAATTACTTTACATCGGTGACAGAAATTAGATTCATTTTTGATTAAAACATTATATAAGAGATGTCATAGAAATACTGAGATGCAAAACTAATTGTTTCAACAATGTTTAGGAGTCGTATTTAAAGCTAAAGGTTTGCCCAAAGTTCCGAGCAAAATATTTAAGTGACTACATAGTGGGATACGGCTTTTACGTTAGCTGTTCAAAGAAATAGTGGGATAAGAGATCGCTAAGGAAGTACGTAACCGACAAAAAATGTCTTATCATGATAGTGAGAGGGCACAATAGGCAACAAAAATATAGATGAAAATAAGATAGACAAAATTAGGCCTGCTTATTAATTGCTCGGAACATAAAATATTAAAAATTACCTCAAAATTCGCTAATACACAAGAACATACTTATATTCCTTGGGCATAGAATATGTGAAAATTCATATTAGCAAAACTTTATCAGATCGATGTATAGAAAAAAATGAGATAAGACTATTTAAGATAAAGTAGTTTATCAGCAAACAAGATAAAAATAATGATACATGAATGAAAGTACCAGAATAGGTATGAGGCAGCTTGCCAAGCCTGAATAGGAAGACGCATATAGTTTACACTTAACAATTGTTAAAAGAAAAGTTCGGTATTAGTAATAGATATAAATAGGTAAAAAGTATTCATATAAAGGTAAAGCAAAAATAAACACATTAAATACAATGTATAATTTAAAAGTCATAAATGTTTGAGTGAACAAAGTATTTATGAGTGTGGTCCGTCAAGAAATAAAATGTTTAGTCATTCTAATTGTAATAAATTAAAAATGAACAGAAAAATATGCATAAGCATAGAGCTTTGCAAAGTGAAAGATGCCAAGCAGCTCAGTTTACACAAACATAAATCAAAAGCAAAAAAAAAATACTTACTCCATCCAAAGTTTTCCATTCTTCATTCTCAGCATCAAAGCCTTGTTTTGCATAATCCATATTAACATGAAGAAAGTTAAATTCAACAAATCAATCGAAGAAATCAAGCATATTGGCGAGGCCAAGCTGATACAAATCCTCCGCTGTTCATCAATTTATTATAACAAAATCTGTCAATTTTGACAATGCAATTGAAAAGCAAAGTATGCAAAACTGTGCATAACGATCCTACAATATTATAATTTTTATATACTGATTCAATAAAATATAAATAAATGACATATGTTTTAAGTGATAATATCAGATATTAGGTGCTGAGGGGACTTTCATTAGGTATGAATGTGCATGAAGAAGAGATTCGTAGGTCGATCTCACCAGTAGAGGATAGCTCAACCACGTTGTACTACAGTCGTTTGGATTTCATACCACGTTGAGGTTGACATAATCCACGAGACCTTCCTCGCTTCGTGGTGAAAACGAACTAAGCTTTCGTTCAACATATGATGGACATCATCAGAGTTGGAACTCATTCTTGTAAAAGTCTCAAGTTAACACTAGTGCAAGAAGACTATCTTGCTTTATCTTACCTCTTATGTAGACTTAATTAGGCAAAAGAAAATTAAAAACTTAGATAGATATAGAATGGTTTGTCAGCTTATCTTTGATACTGCTCCTGCTACCTTTGCTCGACTGTGTGTGTGTGTGTGCATGTATGTATGTGCTAACGACTCAGCTCAATACCGGTCCTAAATAATATTGACAAAAATGATAATGTCAGGCTCTGGTCTTCAAGGCTTAAATGACTTAAATGACCCTTGCCAAGACTGCGTATGTCTGTAAGCAAGTGTGCTGAGAAATTGAGATGTAAGGTTGTAAGCATGTAAGTCAAGTTTCGAAACCACTCGTTCTATCCTCTCAGTCTAGGATCATTAAAGTTTAACAACCTATGCACTTTCATACGGAAATATAATCCTCCCAATAATGTTATTACTGAAGATTAATCGAAACCCAGTTACTCTTTGTATATAGGTATAAGTTGTTACACATTTTATTAGCACAAAATATTGGCGAAATTTTCATTTTTCAGGAATTTGCATGAAAACAAGATTCGTTCTTCGATCTCAGCAGAATACGATGTCTGATTCCTTTTGAACTTCTGCCAGTTGGATTTAATACGACGTTCGGGTTGACACATTTCGCGAGCCAACCCTCTGGTTTCGGTTGCAAATGAATTGAGCTTCGTTCATCATAAAAAGGGAGTCGCATTTAGTAGTATTGTCAAAACTTAAGGGTAGAAGTCACGGCTCCAAGGCATTCCCCTTAGTGCTTCCAATAAGGCCAACTTACGAATACCTTTCACTTTCCTCTTCCCACTAAATGAAAAGTCCTATAACATCTTTGAATATTGAATCTTTTACTGTAACTGAATACTGCATTTTTATTATTTTGATTATTATCCTTTTGGATGACATTCGGTACGTTTATTTCAAACTAGCTTTTAATAATTCCTATCCTGACAAATTTTAAATTGTATGTCTGGATTATAAATTTTTTTTAATTCTATACATATCAATTAATCTAATTTAATTTATTTCATGTTTAAATTTAAGCCTTTTCTATACAATGTAAGGGAAAGCTACTGTA